TTGCAAACTTCGCAAGGCTATATTATCCGCATTTTACAACATTTCGCAACGAAACTTTGGAATATTACTAATTTTGTGATGCTCTTTCAAGCTGTGATGAAATTTTTGTCTAGACTTGTGAGTTCAAAATTTTGGTTAATTGAGGAATGGTCCATTCAAAGTAAGAGATGGCCCTTTCATTATGATCCTGTACAAACAAGGTTAGTTTAGTTGAGGCTTCCTCCTGTGGTAACACAGGTGGCCCTTACTGGACCTTTATCTAGAGAAAACAGTTTGGAACTGAAAGAGCTATCCAATACAGTATATCTTTAAGGTTAGGTTAGTTTAAGTTTCTTCCTTTACTAGAGAGAACAGTTAAGAATTGTTAGACCTTTCCATTCTAAATAAAGTTAGTTTAGTGATAAAAAAATTTTACTGCGGTTTTTTAGAATTCATCGCTATATGGACTCCGAAGCGAAGGACATAGTAGGCAGAGTGGTGTATCCATTTTATCATCCCACGGATGTCTTTCAGATTCAGAGGCTGCACTCGAAATGTGAGTACTTACTACTAATGTTTATATCATCCCTACTGGGTGGCTGTATATTAGTATTGAACTGGGCTTCTGTAAAGACCCCGTCCTTTCATTTCAGCAAAGTCGGAGCACTCAATCACAGGATAAACACTTGCAAAAGTCCGACTTGCGCCATGATTCGCACTGTCCCAATAGCCAGTACTTGGAGTAGTACTAGTAGTACTTGGAGTAGTACCAGTAGTACTTGGAGTAGTACCAGTAGTACTTGGAGTAGTACCAGTAGTACTTGGAGTAGTACCAGTAGTACTTGGAGTAGTACCAGTAGTACTTGGAGTAGTACCAGTAGTACTTGGAGTAATACCAGTAGTACTTGGAGTAGTACCAGTAGTACTTGGAGTAGTAAAGTAGTACTTGGAGTAGTACCAGTAGTACTTGGAGTAGTACCAGTAGTACTTGGAGTAATACCAGTAGTACTTGGAGTAGTACCAGTAGTACTTGGAGTAATACCAGTAGTACTTGGAGTAGTAAAGTAGTACTTGGAGTAGTAAAGTAGTACTTGGAGTAGTACCAGTAGTACTTGGAGTAGTAAAGTAGTACTTGGAGTAGTAAAGTAGTACTTGGAGTAGTACCAGTAGTACTTGGAGTAGTAAAGTAGTACTTGGAGTAGTAAAGTAGTACTTGGAGTAGTACCAGTAGTACTTGGAGTAGTAAAGTAGTACTTGGAGTAGTAAAGTAGTACTTGGAGTAGTACCAGTAGTACTTGGAGTAGTAAAGTAGTACTTGGAGTAGTAAAGTAGTACTTGGAGTAGTAAAGTAGTACTTGGAGTAGTAAAGTAGTACTTGGAGTAGTAAAGTAGTACTTGGAGTAGTACCAGCAGTACTTGGAGTAGTAAAGTAGTACTTGGAGTAGTACCAGTAGTACTTGGAGTAGTAAAGTAGTACTTGGAGTAGTACCAGTAGTACTTGGAGTAGTAAAGTAGTACTTGGAGTAGTAAAGTAGTACTTGGAGTAGTACCAGTAGTACTTGGAGTAGTAAAGTAGTACTTGGAGTAGTACCAGTAGTACTTGGAGTAGTAAAGTAGTACTTGGAGTAGTACCAGCAGTACTTGGAGTAGTACCAGCAGTACTTGGAGTAGTACCAGTAGTACTTGGAGTAGTACCAGTAGTACTTGGAGTAGTACCAGTAGTACTCGCCATGTTCCTAGCCGTTACCCACCTGAAAACACTCAAAATGGCTGTCAAGCCGTCAACAAGATGTATTCGCACTGCTTGTCACAAGTTGGCAACAGGTTTGGAACAACTTGTCGACAACTTGTAACAACCTTGTCGAAATTATCAGACTTGTTGCAAGGTTGTTCTGACAAGTCCGTTATATGCTTATATAACAAGATTGTTACAATCTTGGATTGTGTTGACAACCTTGTAACATCCTTGTTATATCACGGCTGTAACTAACTTGTTAGCACAGTCTTGTAACAAGGCCGATGATGCCATCAAGCTTGTTACAAGTTGTTAACAGCAGCTTGTTTCAAACTTGTCACAACAAACTGGGAACAAGCAGTGCGAAGGCAACTTGTTGACAGCTTGTGAACAGACTTGTAACAACTTGTTTGCAGATTTGTTACAAGCTGTGCGTTTTTACGCGTGTATGTGTTCGGGAGGGGGGGGGAGGGGGTAGTGTCTCTCGTAAGCGCACTGGTTAAGAACATGACGAGTGCTTTGCGATTGCAAATCATGGCAAGCGGCGGGTTATTGACCGAATCGGATCTCTGTAGCCTAATGCTTCAAATGTTTAAACAAATCTCTGATAAAACCTTTCTCTCTTCAAAACAGTACTTGCAGAGGGAAAAGTTACCACCGTGCCATATCGTTGGATGAACAAAGACGGCGGGTGGGTGTGGCTAAAATCCACGACGACACGAATACAAGATGAGAAAACTGGAAAAACTTACATGTTGTGCGTGAACTATGTGCTCAGGTAAATAAAACCTTGTCCATACTGTATATGTTTTCTTATGCTATCGAGTAGGCATAAGACGATAATAATTTTATATCGGTAGAGGATGATAATTTGGAACTTTCAGACTGATCGATTATAACATCAATATGGAATTGTGTAATTTTCTGCAGTGTAGTGTTTCATATTGTCTGCACGTGTACTTTCTTTGGAGACACCATTTGCCTCCTGATGAATCGGAAAATGATCAAGATAGTTGCTCTGTTTGATTGATTTACATATTGTATCGACATATGTCTGTTGATGTTGCTTTTTAGTTTTCAATATTTGAGTAAGTCATGCTTTGGAAATGACAATATTTTTTTTATTACCCATTGTTTTGTTGTACATTTTCCCAACCTTTTAGTCACTCAGAATTTTGTTTACCCAACCCTTTTCTCTTCGGTGCCACCCCCTGCCATAAATAATGACCGGTCCCCATGTCTGATATCATTGCGCACAAATGACTATCAAATTCAATCCCAATAGACAATTCCCATTATAGACTAATTTTAAAACTAGGCAAGGAGATGCAAATAAATCACCACAGTTAGAAAGAGCATGGGAAATGTTGTAAAATGCGGGAAATATAGCCTTGCAAAGTTGTATTGCGTGCGGAAATTCCTGCCACATTTGGACCGAAAATGGTAGCAATTTCCGCACGCAATACAAAAATATACAAAATTTGCGAACTTTGCAAGGCTATATTTTCCGCATTTCACAACATTTCGCAACCAAACTTTGCAATTTTACTCATTTTAATGAGGTTATGCAATAACCAGGGTTAGCAACTTGGTAAGCTGAGCTAACACCTAACCAACCAAACGGGTAACTATGGTAGACAAGGTGTTAAGTGTGCTCTTTCTAGCTGTGGTGATTTATTTGCATCTCCTTGCCTAGTTTTAAAATTTGTCTATAATAGGAATTGTCTATTTGCAAGTGACGCGAACAAATTGCAAGTTGAAATTCACAAAAGATTTGTAAACAAAGCCTCTGATTGGACTATAAGAGAAAGGGAAACTAGTTGCTCAGACTATTTGATTGGTTTCCTTTTTGCTAATAGTCCAATCAGAGGCTTTTGTTACAAATCTTTCGTGAATTTCAACTTGCAATTTGTTCGCGTCGCATGCAAATTGCTCAGAACAATCTGCCTATCAAAATTGCAATATTGTGGGACAATATACTCTAACTGCCTTTCTATGCAACCGCCCCCAGGTCTGATATCATTGCGCACAAATGACAATCAAATTCAACTCCAATTTCCAATAGTGCAATAGAGAATAAAGGCGTGGTTGTGGGAATGAACCCAGAGACGAAGGAGAAAGTGTTTGAAAGAACAAACGACGAAAAAAGCGAGGAGGATTCAGATGATGCGTATTTGGTGAACGAACTCACGACAGCCTTCACAAAAAGTAACCCATTTGGTCAACCTGCCTATCCAAACGGTGTGATACAAGGTTGGTGATTATTTTCCCCCGTTATTTAACTCTGGTCAAGTGCGCCCTAACGCACTTTGTCCTCTTTTTCGAGTGGGGGATTTTTATACATTTATTGAGGTCCATTTCCCCTCAGAAAAATTTTCCGCAGAAAGAAAATATAACAAAGTATATAACAGAGTTCGTACAAAACTTGAAAGTCGCCTTGAATATCTTTGAATTTGTAAAGTTCTTGAAAGTCTTTAAATTTTTCTTGCTTTAGTTTTTGGATATTTTCTGAAATTTTTGACATTCAAAACGGGCGTTTTGTTGATATCTGACAAAGCAGTTTGAAACTCATTAAGGTTGCGTTTTGAAAAATTCAACGTCAGATTTTACAGATTTCTAACCCCTTTTCATCAGTATTTAGGTCCTTGAATTTGACGATACATGGCCTTGAAAAGTCCTTGAATTTGACTCTTTCTCGCATGTACAAACCCTGGTATAAAAATGACCCAACTATAAGTCTATAACAGCATGTAGTTTTGTACAGAAATTGTTCGTGTACTGACTTACTAACTCTACATCTCTTCTGTTGTAGACAACCAAGGAGATATGCCAAACGTGTTCAGCAGCAATTATTACCAAAAAGAAACAAGTTACCAATCCTCGTTCACTTCTCAAGAGTGCAGAGCTAAACCCTTGCAAGAATTTTACGCGCAGAATCCACACCTGAGTGATACGGCGATGCAGCAAGAACAAACTGACAAACATTTTGAGCGCTTTTCCTGGCCTCAAGGGGAAAATGTGTGGCAAAAAGAGCGACGATTGGCGCAAAAAAGTAGCTTTGATGGACTTTATGATAGCCAACACCTTGAACAATTTTCATTGCAAGATTTAATTAATGGACAATTTGCACCGGACTTTTTGTCGCCTGGTGATAAACCACCGATTCAAGGAGAGCCTGCTTTCGAAGAAAATATGTTTGACCTAGAGCAAGCCGAAGCAGCACAACAGAAATTTATAGAAAACCAGTATCATGGTAATCGTTTAGAGGAGTCGTTTATTGAACAACAAAGTCATGGAATTGGTCCAATTGGACATGTAAAGGTTGAGCTTGATGATCAAATACTTCCTGATGAAGCACGTGATAATCACATGGCAGATCCCTTCGGTGAGTATGACGAGAATCATAGATGGACTTTCAGATCTAGGGGGGGTGTTAGGGGGGAAGGTGAGAGAGGAGGGAAGAGGGGGGAAGGTTAGCAAGGAAAAAGGTGAGCGAGAGGGCCACAGTGCCCCTGAGCAAGCTGCAGCATGGGTCACAGTCACTAGTGGGGACAGGGATGGGGTAAGGGGACTACACCAAATGTTCAGATTTTTGGTCTTATTTAGTTCAAAATCCTTGTTTCAATCAAATTACTGTCATTTAGTCCAACAAGCATTTTCTTTTTTTTTTGGGGGGGGGGGTGCAAACTTTCTGAGGAATATCCGAATATACACCTGTATACGATACTCTCATGCCAAGCCCATCTCTTATACACACAACAAATAGCCTAACTCATCTTTTGTTACCCTTTCAGGTATGTCAGTCCTTTCGTACTTTCGCGGCGACGAGGAACTCAATCACGAGGAAAACGCATACCAAGCTTCCATGTATTTATTCATGAACGAAGTTCCTATTCAGGATCTAAAACGTGTGGAAACACCAATATCGCAACAAAACAAGCCGTCGGCGATGGCATACTCCAACCATCAAAGACACAACGATGGTTTTATGCAAGGCATGCTCATCAACAGCCCAGAACAATGCTATAGTAGCTTTTCTCAAGTGAATCACAATAACAACATGCTGCCTAACAACATTGTGAACGGAACACAATTATCAAACGGCAATGTATTCAATGGACTTGTAGAGGAAACTTGTATATTGGATTTCGATCCAGCACTACTGATTTAGAGGTCGACAGTACCTGTGTAGGATACTAGAGGCCAGTCCCACTGACCTCGTGAAAAAAGCTGGGTACGGTAGTGGAACAGCAGCAGTTAATTGTAAACAATTAGAAATTGTCTATTGTATAAAAAGTTAACTATCCATTCAAGGCAAATTGAAACTGAGGGTAAGAATTTGCCCCCAAGGATAACTATCTTACTTTAAACTTTGACTGTCTTTTGCAAGATAAATTGCAAATACACTAACTGCACACCCAAACCAGATGTAAAGCATATGTATAAACTGTGACCTGGGCGACATCTAAATTATGCACATAACATTTTTGGGTTCTGAGCCCCTGTAAAATATATAGCCGTAGTCCATGTACAGATACTTTATACTTGCGATATTTGATTGAACGATAATGTAGACTCTTGTATATTATTTAGTATAGAATTACTGTGAGACAGAAATCAATCATGCAAGTTCATTGTAATTAGAGTGTTTAATTTATATAGTTCAACTTCCCAATGCTTTCATCAATCAATTATGTAACAATCATCCACATTACTAGTTCATTTAAAAACTAATGTATATTGATAGAGAATAATTTAGATTTAGTAGATAATATATATTTTACTTGATTGTTAATGATTATTTTATAATCAATATATAAAATGCACATTAAAAAGTTTAGCTGTATATATTTGTGATCCTTGCACCATTTAGTAAAGTAGTGGCTTGCACGTTTATGTCTCTAATAGACAACTTGCATGTTAGACTAATTTTTTATCTAGGCAAAAAAAGTAAATTCCCTTAAACAACTTATTAAAATTAGTAAAATTGCAAAATTTGGTTATGAAATGTTGTAAAGTTTGCATATTTTGTATGTTTGTATTACGTGCGGAAATTGTTACCATTTTTGAGCTGAAGATGGTAACAATTTCACAAAATTTACAAGCTTTACAAGTAATCATCTGGCTTTTATATGGTTTCATATTGGCTTTTATAACAGTCGGGCCCCTAATGCACCAGTCAGTGGAATACCCCGCACCCCCCTACCCGGGGAACAGCGGGGCATTAGACCAAGACCTTGCTCTAATTCACTCTAATGCCCCGCTATACGGGCCACTCTCACTTGCCTAAACGCAAATAATGTCCCCGCTCTCCGGGCCCAACATACAATATCTAAAAAGAATATCAATCTAAAGGAAATATACCTATTTGATAAATACTATACCTTATTTGTACTTAATTTCGCACATCTATGAAACTGGATTCTTTTCAGTTCGATTTGGTTTTGCTCCGTTCGGGGCCCCTAAAAGGCCCTAAAAACTGGGCCTTTCCCTTTTTACTTAAAATTTAAGTCATATCAGAATCTATGGTCTATACTGAATGCTTAAAAAATGGAACATCTAAACGGTTTACAATAACTTTCAAGAAAATAAAACAGTGACCTAATAAGACTAATAACACAAGAGATTGTCAGTTCGTTCGCAAAATTATCAGTTCGCTTTCATTGCTCAGTCTTTTCTCGTTTTCAAGATGGCGGCTATGTCTAATCCCCGATATAAGCCCCGCCATAGTCCCCGGTAGTACCTGATACACATATCTAATACAGTCTAAATCCCTGTGTACCGTGGCCAAATATAAGGTTCAATCGCTCAATAATTCCCTGCTATTCCCCGGGTAGGGGGGTGCGGGGCATTCCACTGACTGGTGCATAAGAGATTACAACACCGGTCATGCCAATTTGTTGAGAAGTTGTCATTAACCCATTGAGCCGCAATGCGGCCTACTTATTTTTTTACTTGTCTAATGCCAGACGATTTTACTCGTCAATGGTGAAGCTCTGCAGCTTTATAATGGGTTAACACAATCTGTCATCAAGTTGAGTATCGCCCTCTCTGGGCAATTATATAAAAGGTCAACAATTATACTGTATTCTGGACGAAATAACAAAATTGGAAACTATTTTAGTTAACAAATTTGTTACAAGACTTCTGTCAACACACCTTGTCAACAAATATTATTGTAACCATGATGTGTGCCCGCTGCGTCATTTAATACAGTTACGTTCATTTTGTTTTGACACTTGTTGATCTTGTTCGAGTTTTCAGTTGACTTCAAAGCGAGCTTCAAAGTCAAATGAAACAAGCAAAACTGCAAATTTCACAGCAAAATAAGATCTAAAGTAACGACTTACATTTAACTGTCGACAATTATACTGTATTCTGAGTATTTTCGTCTTCAAAAGCTTTGAATTTCGGGAAAAAATCCACAAATATTGAACCTTTGACAACCAGTTTTCCAAATTTCAAAAACACGTGGAAACTGCAAACAGATGCCCAATCTTGGGGCAGAATTAATAACCTGCGATCAGGCGTTCTTGGTGACATTCATTGAAGGTGACATTTCAGTTAGCCTGCGAATACAGACGCCTCACATCGGGCGAAATGGTACATTTCGCCCGATGTGAGGCGTCTGTATTCGCAGGCTACATTTCAGTGCGTATTAAAAATAAATACGAGCGGAAATAAGGCGAAAGATACAGAACCTCTGGCAACCAGGGTAACATTACAGAAGTTTTATAGAAAATAATTATGCGATATAATACACAATTTTATTACATGTAAATTTTAATACTTGCTTAACTGGTAATTTCAAAATTTCTGTTTTGGAATATAAAATTCCTCTTTTGTTCAGTTAATTAATATTCTCCAGAGAAATCAAGCCCCCTCTATAGACCCATTGCACATGACGTCACAGCGCCAGTGACGATGCATCTGGAGGACAAATTAGCAATCTATGCATAATATAGATTTTGTAAACAAAGCAAATTTTGTAGTTTATAAAATTTTTGTATTAAAATGGTTAATTTTTGGCCTGTATTGTATGTGGTTGTTGTAACCGAACAGATATTTTTAGGGAGCATCTGGAGAACACTCTAAGGATTTGTGACGTCAGTGCAATGGGTCTATACCCGGCTCATTTTTAAAAGGAGTTTATCTATACATCTACAAATTTAGCTGTTGCTGTTTGCACCATTGCCACCTAATTCACAAGTTTGGATAACTCAGGTTTTCTTCAATGTTCCATCCCACCCAGGCCGCCATTCCACGCTTGACGTCTTAAAAACCTTGCACTTACTTTTTTGAAAATCTTATTTTTGCAATTCCTATTTTGCAACGGAAACCTCTTTCCCTTTACATCTCCCATTTTATTTTATTGAATCCCTCAAATCCCAGACTTCTTTCGCA